AGCGGGTTGTGTTCACGGAGCCACTGTAACGCTGCGCCAAACCTCCAAGCATCGTCGAAATCATGGCCGATCCATTGCGCGGGTCCAGTGTGGTCCATTTGCAACAGCACCGCCCACCACCTCGGTATTTGACTTGCCTTGAAACGGGGTGAGGAGAACAGAGGTGAGTGGAATTTGAAGTCCAGAAGAGGCAACCAGCATATTCCCGATGTTGACTTGTTAGGTATCGACACTGATGGGTTGGTCATTCACACTTCACGTCTCTTCCTCTCTCCGTGTACCTGAATATTAAAACTCCAATCCTCGAGAAGATGTTGATCCATTACTTTTCTGAACCATGTCCCAACCAGTCGCACCTCTTACCCCTGCCCAAAGCCTTGCCGCTGCGCAAGGGCATCTTCAGCGCCTCAGCCAACTGAAACAGTTCACCGCCGTTCACGATGTCCTCACCTCCCATGGCTGGAAAGTCGACGGGGCTGCATCTGTTTTGTACGACCTCCATCCCGCTGCCGGCAGCGGCACCGAAGCCCCCGCTTACCTGGTCGCCACCGGCGAAGTTACTCCCGTGAAGACCGTTCTCAAGTCCGTAGGCAACTACAATCCCAAGTACGGGAATCTCGAACGGGCGAAACAAGTTTTAATGCTGACTTCACCTGGTGGGTTACTCCGCCTCCTTGGTGCTGCTTACGCTGACGATCCTCTTAGACCGTTGCCCCGTCTTTCGGATCGCCTACCCTCACCAAGTCACCCATCTTCATGGTCTCGAATCCAACGTTTGTTCAGGACCCTCCAGCAACTTTTTCATCGTCGACCGTACCCGTGCGCTGCTGCGCTTCACCATGCCCGTCTTCGAAAAGAAGGGTGGCGACGGCCGTACGCATTCTAAGCGCTTCTTCACGCCACTCCTAACCCTTCCTACAGCCGTGATGCAGAACGAACTTTATCAGGTTCCCACAAACCTCAAGAAAGACTTTGCCAAAGTCATCAAAGACTACGACGTCCATTTGATGACCGTCTACGACATCAACGGGCGCCTTGTCCCTTACCAAGACCTGGACCGCGTCCTTGTGGGCGCCATTGTCGAGGTCACTTTCAAGTTCATCCACTACGCTATTCCTAAGGATGGCTCCGTCGTTGATTCTCTTACTGGTAAGTTATCCTTTCCCCTTCGCCTTATCTCACGCAGTCTGACACTCCTCCAGGCGAAATTGTCCAAGTCGTTGTCCTACGAGAACCAGTCCCCCACGCAGCCAACAACTTCACGCGTAACAGACCGTTCTGCCCCCTCCCCTCCTTACACCTAGCTGCCACTCCTCCCGCTTCCGCTGCAGCTTTGCTGCAGGCCGTGCTGTCCAGCGTGCCCGCCGTGGCTGCCCCGGGGCCTGCCATACCTTTCGCGCCCCACTTGCAACCGCACGACTCTCCCTACGGCACGCATCCATGGGTGTTTGCTGCTGTGGGCCCCAGGCCTTCCGGGCTCCCACTCTCCGGGTCAGCGGCGGCTGCTCTTGCGCAACCGACTGCCCACTCGTCCTTCGCGCACCCACCCCTCGCTCACAACCAACCTCTCTCTCACCCTGCCGCACACTCGCAGACGCCCGGTCCCTCCCACGCTGCGCCCACTGCACCTATGGGCAACGCGCCTGTGGCTTATCCCACCCCGCCCTCCCTGGCCGACAACCCGTCCCTGCAGATCTCCGGACCCGCCCACACTCTCGCCCCCGCCGCGCCGCCTTCGTCTTTCGGCCCCGTCCAAGCGGTGCCCGGTCCCTCCCACGCTGCGCCCACTGCACCTATGGGCAACACGCCGGCGGCTTATCCCACCCAGCCCTCCCTGACCCACAACCCACCCCCGCAGATCTCCGGACCCGCCCACGCTCCCGCCCCCGCCGCGCCGCCTTCCTCTTTCGCCCCTGTCCAAGCGACTCTCGCGCCCATCCAAGCTGCTGCTCCCACCCAGCTTCTCGCGCGTAGCCAGGCCACCCCTCATACCCACGCCGTCACCCACACCCCACCCGCCGATGTGACCGGACCCCCCACTGCCGCGTCCATCACTTTCACGGAGCCCACGGGACCCGTCGGTCGCCTCTCTCCTCCTTCGCTCTCAGGGTCCCCCGCGAGCTCCTCGGTCTCCTCCGATGCTCCGTCGGACACCGTCCCTGGCTCCGTCGCCGCGTCGATTTTCGACCGACCGGTGTCGCCCTACAAGCTGCAGGGCCGGACTCTTAGCGCAGCGCAACACGCAGCGTACTTTCCCGGCGGTGGTCCATCAGAGCGCGACTTCAGCATGTTGCTCCACCAGGATCCCAACCGGCCCGTGAACTGGGACGACGTTTCTCCTTATCAGGGCCGTGGTACGTAGCCTATGACACGTATGCTCCCCTTCTGATGTTCTTGCAGATCTGGACGGCTATGAAGCGGACGGGTTCGTGGTCGACGATGAGGCCGAAGAGAGCAGCGTCGACGACAGCGATGCTGACGACGAGGTAGATGACTGGGTGCGTCCGCAGGCCAAGGGCCGCGGGAAACGCCGAGCGCAGCCCCTCAGCCGTTTGTCCAAGAAATCTCGTCGTGTGTCCAGCGATGATGATTAAACGGGCGGGCTACAGTTTTTTTGCCCCCTGATGCCCGATATAGCTTACAGACCCTATCATCCTTCACAGGTACCTTTACGACCTTACGATTTGACGACACCTCTTACGACTCTGACGCTTGCCTCACGATTCTCTACGATTATAACGATGTTTCTGACGATTTATCATGTACCTTACAAATATCCCATCTTTAACACCTGCGAATACATTGTTTGCTGTGACGAAAAGCTTTCAGCAAAATGTGGACGTGAGAAACTTGCAATGTGGACTTGCATCACCAAGCAAGCTTGGAGACGCCCAGGGACATGGCTTATGTAATTAGATCACCTTTCATGGTGGGGGTTCAACCCTGGGTGCGTAACAATAAAATATCGCACCACATAACCGGCCACTCAGGACCGGACTTAGGCCTGGGGGACAAGTGAAGACCTGAGTCCGGTGTAAAAAGCCTGCTTAGGATCAGATGTTTTGTTAGAATGGTGTGCGCACTACCGCTTAGCCACATAACCGGTTATGTGGCTAAGCGGTAGTGCGCACACCATTCTAACAAATAGCCCCATTGACTTTCTGAGAAATAAAAAAAGATTTAATCTTCCAATATAGACGACACCGCCACATCCACTATCTGATCTTTACCACCACTATGCCCGCCCCTCCGGAACTGCTCTCGTTCATCGATGCCTCTGCACCTGCGTTCATCGCACGACTCGGTGAGGCTGTCGCGATCCCGTCCATCTCCGGCGAGCCCCTCCGCCGACCCGCCGTGATCGAGATGGCGCACTGGCTCGACGCGCAGCTGCGCGCCGTCGGCGTCACTTCATTTTTGTTAAACAAAACTCAAGGTTCAAATTAAACCAACCCAACTAAGTTCCTGGGTATAAATATATAGGGATGGATTCCGCATCCGCTAAATGACATATGTCTTGCAATAATGCATCGGAAGCAGAATACGCTCGTTCGACTCAAGCCTGGGCAATTATCCAATAGCATAGCTCCGTCATTTTTCTTTTTTTTGGACTCCACTGCAACCGAAAAATCCCACCAACCCAACTGACTTCTGGGTATGGAAATATAGGCCCGGGGGCGGATGTTCCGCTTCTGCAGTTGTTTGCAACTTTGTTATGATAGACTCGTCTCGGCACCATATCTTCATCCTCTCAATCTCGCTTGGACTGATGGTCACATACGTTACCATATATATATACTTGTATTTTTGTTCGCTCCCTCAGTCATTCCCTGATACGACTGAGGTGAGCATTACCTATATTTATATCTGCCTGTTACTTATATCCCTCATCCAGCTTACTTCAATACTTAACAGGTAGCGTAGTATTATGAGTCGTTCCCTGATACGACTGAGCTTACTTCAATACTTAACAAACTTGAGTGGAAGTAAATAGTAAATGGGGTGCATGGGCTGTACTTCAATATTCAACTCTTGGATTTTTTCGCTCAACTGGTTTTAAATTCCACTTCATCTATTCATTGTCTATTCAGGTTTCAAAGGAAGAGAAAAAGGTCCAGTGGCGGATGGTTCCGTGTCGGCGATACTTAAGACACCATTGCGGCGAGAGTAAGCCGAAATAGCTCGTTCGAATCGAAAAAAACCACTGAACTCAGCTTGGCCATATTCAATCGCAAAGGTCTTTTTCATTTTGCTCGCTGAATTCATCCATCCATTGAGGATTCGAGGTATAGAAATATAGGCCCAGTGGCGGATGGTCCGCGTCTGCTACACGTGAGGTGATCAGAGATGTAAGCAGAATACGCTCGATTCGAGCCTGGGCCGTGACCCCGGATCGAGAAACTTTTTTTTATTGAACTCGTCGAAATCCGACCCAGTTAGCTTGCATTTAGCTAAATTTCAAAAGCAGGATATAAAGGCCCAGTGGCGGATGGTCCGTGTCTACGGATTGTTCAATTGTTGGTTGCACCTGATGTGTACGCAGAAGACGCTCGGTCGAATCGAGCCTGGGCCACAGTCGAACGGCACATTGATTTCTTTTTCTTTTTCCCCGCTGAAAATGAGCCATTGTACTAGGTTTCAAAGGAAGAGAGAAAGGCCCAGTGGCAGCTGGTTCCGCGTCTGCGATACTTAAGCGGCGAGAGTAAGCCGAAATAGCTCGTTCGAATCGAGCCTGGGCCATGATTGTCGATCTTCGCGATTTCGTTTTCATTTTCCTCGCTGAAAATCAGCGCTCAACTATTGTACTAGTTTTCAGCGGGGGCCCAGTGGCGGATGGTTCCGCATCTGCTAAACTTTCGTGAATATAAAATAACTCTTCGTAGAAGACGCTCCTTCGAATGGGGCCTGGGCCGTGACACGGCTTTTGTATGTAGCTTTTTTTTTTGAAACACTGCTTGAATTTAAACCAACCAAACTGAGTTCCTGGGAATGAAAATATAGGCTCAGTGGCGGAAGGTCTGCGTCTGCGAATCTTGATGATCGATTAGATTCGAACTGTGAATAGGCAGATGGTGCTCGTTCGAATCGAGCCTGGGCCTGGGTCATGAACGCCTCAGCCTTGTCTCTTTTTTTTTTTCGACTTGTTGAATTTCGACCAACCCAACTGAGTTCATAGGTATTCAAATATAGGCCCAGTGGCGGATGGATTCCGCATCCGCTAAATGTGATGGCTCTTGCAATAATGCATTGGAAGCAGAATACGCTCGTTCGAATCGAGCCTGGGCCATGGCTGGGGAACATGATTACGATTTTATTTTGCTCGTCGAAATTCATCCCATCTAGTCAAGTTTCTAAGGAGGAGAAAAAAGCCCAGTGAATTTCGGGGGAGTTGAAAGGGTGCAACTCGAGTGGATGTAATGTCGTACGTGGCTCAATGTTCTGTTGGTTTTTTCTTTCTTCGCTTGAATGCAGCTCTGGGTAGTAGAGAAAAAGGCCTGGTCGCAGGAGGTACCGCGTCTGCGATACTTATCAAGTACATGAAAAAAATTGCAAGTAAGCAGAAGACGCTCGTCTAACCCGCTGCAATTCACCCTATATATTAACCTTTCAAGGGAGGAGAAATAGGCCCAGTGGCGGATGGTTCCGCATCCGCTAAATGTTACTTTCCAGTAATGCATTGAAAGCAGAATACGCTCGTTCGAATCGGGCCTGGGCCACTATGGGGATTCCCGTGAACTTTTTTATTCGACTCGTTAAAAACCATCCCATCCATCTACAAAGGAGGGTGGGGAAAGGCCTGGTAGCGGAAGGTCCGCGTCTGCAATACTTTGGCGATCGCCATTTATTGATGTTTAAGCAGATGGTGCTCGTTCGATTCGAGCCTGGGTCATGGGGTGGCAAGATTATAACAGTCTTTTTTATTCTCCTCACCCGGGATCAAATTCAACGAGTCTCATAGAGTTTGTGGGTGAGAGACGAAGGCCCAGCGGCGGATGATTCCGCGTCTACGACTCATGGGGAAGTATATGACTATCGGTGGAAGATGCTCGCTCGAATCGAGCCTAGGCGGCCGGGTTGCAGTATCGGATTTAAAACTTGGGATTTTTTTTTCCAACTCGTTCAAATGAAACCAACCCAGCTGAGTTCCTGGGTATAGAAATATGGGCCCAGTGGTGGAGGGTTCCGCGTCTGCAATTCTTTGGTTGGAACGCGATACTTATACGCAGAAGTAGCTCGTTCGATTCGGGCCTGGGCCATGGTCAATCGATTTCTTTTTCTTTTTCCTCGCTGGAAATGAGCCATTGTACTAGGTTTCAAAGGAAGAGAGAAAGGTCTAGTGGCGGATGGTTCCGCGTCTGCTGAACTTGAATGTGATCAAATGCAGTGCAAGCAGAATACGCTCGTTCGAATCGAACCTGGGTCATGATCAAGGTCATGATTTGTCTCTTTTTTTATTCAAGTTGTTGAATTCAAACTAACCCAACTGAGTTTTCAGGAATGAAAATATAGGCTCAGTGGCGGATGGTTCCGCGTCTGTGATTCTTAATGGGAGTAGAAGCTCGAAGACTAAGCAGAGATGCTCGTTCGAATCGAGAAAAACCAGCTCAGCTTGGCCATATTCGATCGCAAAGGTCTTTTTCATTTTGCTCGTTGAAATTACCCATTTATTGAGGATTCAAGGTATAGAAATATAGGCCCAGTGGCGGATGGTCCGCGTCTGCGATACTTATCCTCTGAAGTTGAAGCGGAGGACGCTCGTTCGAATCGAGCCTGGGCCATGACTGGTGCAAAAGAGACCCTTTTTTCTTCTCTTTGTCCTCGAGCTCCGACGTGATTTCAGTGAAAGAAAGAAATAGTCCCCCTGACTTTCTGAGAAATATCCCAGTCTCCCGCGCAGTCAGACTCTAAAAGAAGATTCAATCTCCCAATATAGACGACACTGCCACATCTGCTATCTGATCTATACCACCACTATGCCCGCCCCTCCAGAATTGCTGTCGTTCATCGATGCCTCCGCGCCTGCGTTCATCGCTCGGCTCGGTGAGGCTGTCGCGATCCCGTCCATCTCCGGCGAGCCCCTGCGCCGACCCGCTGTGATCGAGATGGCGCACTGGCTCGACGCGCAGCTGCGCGCCGTCGGGGTCTCCACGCGCCTCGCCGACCTGGGCGTCGAGACCCTCTCCTCCGGGCAGACGCTCCCCCTCCCGCCCGCCATACTCGGCAAGATCGGGAACGACAAGGCCAAGAAGACGGTACTGGTGTACGGGCACTTTGACGTGCAGCCCGCGGCGCGCGAAGACGGATGGGCGAGCGAGCCGTTCGTGCTCACGGAGCTCGCGGACGGGAAGCTCGTCGGAAGGGGCAGCAGCGACGACAAGGGCCCGGTGCTGGGGTGGGTGAACGTGCTGCAGTGGCACCACGAGCACAAGAAGCCGCTGCCGGTGAACCTGGTCTTTTGCTTCGAGGGGATGGAGGAGAGCGGGAGCGAGGGGCTGGATGCGCTGGTCGAACAGGAGAAGGATGGCTGGTTCAAGGACGTGGACTGCGTCTGTATCAGCGACAATTATTGGCTGAATGACCGCACCCCGGCGTTGACCTATGGATTGCGCGGCCTGGTGTATTTCAAGCTTACCCTCGAAGGTCCGGGAAGGGATTTGCATTCGGGTTTGTTTGTTTCTTATCCTTATGCCATATACTCATTTGCGCGTAGGCGTATTTGGCCGCACGGTACACGAGCCCATGACGGACCTCATCACGCTCATGGGCAAGCTCGTCGACGCGCAGGGAAACATCCTCGTCCCCGGCGTAGATGACATGGTCGGCATCGCAGACGTGGAGGAGCGCGCAATCTACGAGAAGCTCGACTACACCATCGCAGACGTCGAGGCCGCCGCGGGCGGGAAGATCACCCTCTCACACGACAAAGTCCAAGTCCTCATGGGCCGCATGCGCCTGCCCTCGCTCTCGCTCCACGGCATCGAGGGCGCATTCTCCGGCCCCGGCGCAAAGACGGTTATTCCCGCAAAGGTCGGGGGCAAGTTTAGTATCAGGTGCGTGGGCGTGGATCCCTTCTCCATCCATCGTATCCTCACGTCCCTTCGCCTGTCCTTCCCTTGCCTTCCCTTCCCAATCCAACGCAATCCAACCCATATCTCATCCCCCGCCTTTATCCTCTCTCTTATTTATTGTTTACTAACCCCTCCTACCACAGACTCGTCCCCCCCCAAACCCCCGCCGCCGTCGCGCCCCTCGTGCACGCCCACCTCCGCGCCGAGTTTGCAAAGCTGGGGAGTAAGAATAGGATGTGCGTTTTGCTTCTTCTTCACTTGTACTTTTTTTTTTTTCGATTGGATTTTTTGGGGGGTGTGTGATTGGGAGGGGAGGTGCAAAGGCGGTGTCGATGCGCGCGATTGGGGTGCGGTGCGCCCTGTGGCGGCGTTCGGAGCGCGTTGCAGGCGCGATTGGGGGCCGGCCGCGCGTTTGTATTTGTGTTTCCTCCCTTGTAGGCAGATGTCGATGCCACGCGCGATTGGGGTGCGGTGCGCGTCGATGTCGCCCCTGTGGCTACGTTCGCAAGTCCGTTGCAGGCGCACGTGGTGTCTGTACAACAGTGTCGGTGTCGGTGTCCGTACAATGGGCTGCGCCGATCCCGTCCTCGCCTCCCCTTCTTCTCTATTCTTTTGCTATTGCTATTTTTCTTTGGTGGATGGGTGTGACCTAGCTGGCGTGTATCGCTCGACCTCGACCTCCCTCCTCGAACGCTGCGTCGAGGCGGGGGATTGTGTGCCGGTGGTGCCGGTGGCGCGGGCGCTTCCCCTCGCGCGCCTCTCCTCCATATAAGCATGCGTACACCGGGGTGTGTGCTCTGGACTTGTCGTCGTATGTGCGTGGTGGTGGAGACCGACGACTACGCAGATGTGTGTGGTGCAGCCGCCGTGAGATGCGCTTCGTCTGTGCGCTGGAGGGGTTTGCGTGCGGGGATGGGCATGGGCATGGGCGCAGCGATTTGTGTGCATGCAGCCCCGGCGTAGACGGCGGAGCTGCGTGCGTGCCGTCCTGGAGTGGTTGCGGCGCGACCTCGAGAGGAGGGATGTGGGATGGAGTTCGGCGGGGGGCGGGTGTCTGTCTGACGCCAACGCCCTGCTGTGGAGGCGCCGCGTTCGATGATGGTGTGTGTGGAGGGCCGTGGTGATTCGTTCCTTCCTCGTGCCGCCAGAACCCAGGACTCAAGAGCCAGGGTGCCGGAACTCGAGAGGATGGGGGAGTGTTATCGTGTGCCTACGAGCGTCGGTTCGGCGCGCGGCTCGAGCGTCAGATGGGTGGTGGCCTGCTAAGCCCGAGCAGACGCGGTCCCCTGTACACGGCTCGTTACGATGTCGGTATCCGTGCCCGTGTTTCTCCTTTCCTTTCCATCCCTTCTCCTTTCTCCCCTCCCCCCCCACCCCTTCCACACACTAACCCACCGCACAGGGAGATCGAGACGCTGCACGACGGCAAGCCGTGGGTCGCGGACTGGAAGCACTGGAACTACGCCGCGGCGGTAAGGGCGACGGAGGTGCGTTTTTAGGCTTTTTTTTTGGGGGGGGGTTGAGCGGAGGGGCGTTTTTTGGGGGTAGGGCTGGCCTTGCGCGAGGAGTTGGCTCGGGGAGTGTGGAGGAGGGTGCTGAAGGCGCGGTCGGCCGGTCTTGGTGCTCTTATGCGCAGGGCGTGGGCTTTGGGGAAGCGCGGGCTTCGAGGCGGGTGTGCCGGGTGCGCGCTGTCCGGCTGCAAGCACCGGTGCGCCCCCTCGTTGTGTACACGCTCCTTTGCTCCACGGGCTCGTACCGCGGCCGGCCTTTGGTGCTCTTAGGCGCAGCGCATGCACGTGGAGGGGACAGGACCTGCTAGGGCTCGTGCAGGCTTTGAGGCGGGTGTGCTGGGTGCGCGCGGTCCGGCTGCAAGCACTGGTGGTTCGCGCTCCACGCGCTCCCTCGCTCCTTTGCTGCGCGGGGCCGACCTTTAGTGCTGTTATGCGCGGGGCGTGGACGTTGGGGAGGGGGCAGGCCCGTGCGGGCTTTGAGGCTGGGTGCGCTCCTTTGCTGGAAGCACTTTGCCGGCGGCCCCCTCGTTGTGTACGCGCTCCTTTGCTGCGCAAGCTCGTACCGCGGCCGGTCTTGGTGTTCTTGGGCGCGGCGCGTGGACGTTGGGGAGGGGGCTTCGAGGCGGGTGTGCTGGGTGCGCCCCCTCGTTGGGTACGCGCTCCTGCGCAGGCTCGTACCTTGGTGTTCTTAGGGACAGCGCGTGGACGTTTGCGGGTGTCGAAGTACCTGCGCGGGTTTCGAGGCCGCAAGCAATTTGCCGGCGGCGCGCCTCCTCGCTGTTGTGTACGCGCTTCCTCGCGCATGCGTGAGTCGTGCCGAGGTATACCGTATGTGGAGTGGGGATTCCTCGAGGGCTTCGTCGGCTGGAGGTAGGCGTCGGCGGCGTCGGGACGTGGGTCGTCCGCCCGCGACGATGTCGAGGAGCCTGATATGGGGCGTTTTGCCGTCTGCGATGCTCGTGCCCACTTTGCCGACGGCGGCTGTGCTCCCTCGCTGCGTACATGCTACGTTTCTGCGTACGCGCTCCGTCGCTGCTATGCTGCGTAGGCGCTCCTTCGCTGCTGTGTATGCGCTCCCTCGCTGCGTTAGTCGCGCTGTGTGGAACCCAGCCACTTCTCGAGGGCTTCGTCGGCTGGCGACATTGGCTGAGCGTGGAACGTGGTGCGACTGCGAATCTGGCTTTTACTTGTGCCTCGCCTCCTGTTTTTTCTGCTCCCTCTCCATCCAGTGTCGGTATCGCAGGACCTCCCTGTCGCGGCGCTTCGACGATGTCGCGGGCTTTGGGGTTCTTTTCGACTGGAGGTGGGCAGTGTTTGGCTGAGGGTGCCGATGTCGAGGAGCCTGTTGCGCGCGTTTGGCGTGCCCACGATGCTCGCGGACGTCGCGCATATCGTCGCTGGTCCATTCGACCTGGACGAGCGCCGGCCCTGTGGGCGGCGTTTGAGGATCGGTGCGCAGAGTGTACTGTTTCTTTCGCGTCTGTGTTGCTTTGGGGCACGCCGATCCCTACGTGATCCTTTCCTTTCCGTCCTCCCCTCCCTCCCTCCTTCCTCACCTTCATACTCAATCCTCTTATCACCAACTAACTCCTCTTTCCTCCGCAGCAAATCTACAAGCAGACGCCGGACCTGACGCGCGAGGGCGGCTCGATCCCCGTCACGCTTACTTTTGCGGAGACGCTCGGCGTGAATGTGCTATTGCTGCCGATGGGGAGGGAGGATGATGGGGCGCAGTATGTGGCTTTTTTTTCTGCGGCCCACTACCCTGCATGTGCGATCTGACTAACGCCTTCTCTCTTCCAGCTCCACGAACGAGAAACTAGACCGCAGCAACTTTATCGAAGGGGTGAGTGCTACTTCGCTCTTTCTTTCTTGCCATTCCTCTTCTCCCGTTCTCCACGGCCATATCATATATAGACGCTGACGATATTTTTAATTTCACCAGACCAAGCTGCTCGGCTCTTACCTGTACGAAATCGGGGACGTGAAGGAGGTGGGGAAGTAGGGTGTCGGCGGCGTGTTCCATGACGAGCGCCTTCGCGGAGTAGCGAGATGAAACCGAGGAATAGCCAGAAAAAAAAAAGTCTTGTATGTACTTGTATCCCGAAATCAAATTCTTGTGTCAGATAAGATAAGATGTGATTTTTATGTTTATTTTTATTTTTGGAGGAACGTTTAAAATAGCGGTAAAGATGTGAT